CCCAGAAGCTGGGAGAGTAAGACCAGTGGAACGGTGCGGTCCCTGTACACCCGACGAGCCAGGTCCCTGATGCTAACCAACCGCTCCTGGGAGAGATGGACCATGCAGTTTGTGGTGCTATGACGGCTCCCAGGTGCAGAAGCCTGGATGAGGGAACCGTCTGGCTTTTTGGGAAGTTGACCGAGAAACCATGCTTTTGGAGGACCTGAATGGTGAGTTCCAGGTCCGACTGAGCTGCCCGGAAGGAGGACGCTTGAATCAGGATGTTGTCCAGGTAACACTGGACGCGTACCGGTACCTTCCTCAAGCGGGCAGCTAGTACAGCCAGGATCTTGGTGAACACCCTGGGTGCCAAGGAGAGGCCAAAGGGAAGCCCCTGTAACAGAACCTGAGGAACCTCTGGTGAGCTAGATGGATGGGGATGTGGAGATACGCTTCTGTGAGGTCTGTTGATGCCAGGAAGTCCCTTGTCTGATGCCCCCAGGATGGACTGGAGTGATTGCATCTTGAACTTCTTGTAAGTGATGTAATAGTTTAGACCCCTGAGGTCTAGAATCGCTCTCCATCCCCCCGAGGTCTTGGGGACCATGAACAGAATGGAGTAGAATCCCCCTCCCTTGTGGTACGGCGGTACCGGTTCTATGGCCTGAATCTCCAGAAGATGTTGAATGGCCTCCTGCATGAGTCCTTGTTTGAGTGGATCCCGGGAAATGGGACAGGTGATGAATCGGTCCGGGGGAATGGCTAGAAACTCCAGGGCCAGACCAAACTGGATGGTTTGTAAGACCCAGGTGTTCGTGGAAGTGAGTTCCCACTGATGGAAGAAGTGGGCCAGCCTTCCCCCAATGGGAAGTGCAGTGTAAGAGTTACTTGGACCTCCTGTAGGGGCGTCCTGCCCCTCGAAATGGCCGCTTAGATTGGCTCTACTGCCTGGACCGAAAGCCCGGCCTGTCATACGGACAGCCATACGGCCTGTTCTGTCTGGGTGTGTATGAGTGGGAGGGCTGCGTAACTGTTGGACCTGCTGCTGGCTGAAAGGGCTGCCCACGGAAATAGGGAGCGGAATGTTTGTCAGGCAGTTTATTCAAGTGAGCCATGATCTTCCGCTTGTCCTTGTTCTCCACAAGGTTCAGGGCCAGGGCCTCCCCAAAAAGATTATTGCCCAGATAGGGAGCAGTCGCAAGATGCCATTTGGCCTTGGCGTCGGCCTGCCAGTGTTTCAGCCAAAGCATCCTCCTGGCTGTAATGTTGGAAGCTAGAGACTTAGAAGCAAAGTTGGCTGACTGAAGCGTTGCATGGGCAGCATACTCAGTGGCCGCCACCATTTTGCTTAGGTCCTGATGGGTCTGAATGTCCTCAGCGGGGACCCTGGCCTGAAGCTGACACAGCCATAAAAGGGTGGTCCGCACAAAGAAGGATGCACAAGTGGCCATTTTAATTGTCCATGCAATTAACATTCCGGAATGTTTGGTCCCATTTTCTGTCGTCCGCTTTAAGCGCCTCTGACATGTCCCCAGCGACCACAGTCTGGGATACCAGAGGGGTCCAGGCTTTGTCTACCTTGGGGACTTCCAGAGCATCAGTGAGGTCTGTGGAGATGCTAAAAATCTTTTTGTCAGCCCGCTTACGGAAGGGAAGGAGGAAGGGGAGGCCCATTGTTTTTTGACGCCTTTGAGAAAAATAGAGGGACACGGAATGTGATGTTGGTCTGCCACCGTCTCAAAAAATAACAGATTTGGACTGGAATCCGAAGTTGCCTGCGGCTGAGGGAACTGATAGGACCCTATGTTTGCCGTTGATGTGGCCTTCTGAAGTAGGGGAAGAAACAGGGCTGGATTGAACAGGCCTCCCAATGGGGAGGATTCAGGAGGAAGTTCCTCCTCCTCTGATAGATTAAATTCCGGCTGCTCCTCACCTTGCAGAGATGAATATACACTCATGGAGGAGTGTGCAGGAGATGTGGGTTCCTGAAGAATAGGGAACCCCATAGAAGGTACATAGGGTGGCATGACCGATATGGAAGCCCCCTGTCCAAGCAGATGGAAGGACCGTTCCGCTAGAGCGCAGTCCACAACCTTGGATAGTAAGGCCTCAAGGTGGCTGTCAGAGAAAATGTCTCCGATGTCCGGACCCCTGAGTCCTGCGGCCGTAGGAGTGAAGGTGGCCTCTGGGGTTGAGCCTGAAGCAGTTGTTGCCTGTTGAACTAATACAGAAGGGGAGCTGAGTGTGGCAGGCGTCCCTGTGAGAGACCACACACCTTGAGCCGAAGTTGAAGGGCCTAAAGGAAGGTCAAATTCAGGAACCGCCATTTGATCTGTCTCTAATCCAGCATGCCTCTGCACTCTGGAGAACTCAAGAGCCTGGTGCCTACGGCTGGCTGCTTTTCCACCAACTTGGAAGGCTTCTTGAGAGTGGTCTTAGCCTTAAATTTGGGCTTGCCTGCCGCCTTCTGTTCAGAGGATTTGTGCCAGCCGTAACTAGAGGATGGGGAGGCAGTGCTCATGGGTTGAGGCATCGTGGAGTCCTCCATCCTGGTTGAGCAGTCTCAGGGAAACTGAGACGAAGCTCTGGCAGGCAAGCAGTTGACGGAAGCAAAATTGGAACAAGTAACAAGACTGCTCCCCTGACCACCTGACCAGAAAAAATTCTATCTGGGCTTTGGTCACGGCAATTGAGTCAGATGCCGAAGGCACGGTTGGGGACCTGCTCTGGGCTCCGCCGGGAGGCCTTAGGTGGCCAGTCAAGGTGCACCAAAAAAGCACCAATGAAGGGCGTAGAGGGCCTGAAAAAAAGGTCCTGGCAAGAAAGGATCAGGCTCAAAATGGCAGGTAAATAATTTGTGTTGTATTGTAGAAAGTGATTTGTGATAAAGGAAACACACACCTAAATGCGGCCTGGGTCAGGCAACTACTGTGAGTAGGCCTCATGGGGCCTAAAGAAGCTCCCACGTGGCGTTCAAGATGGTGGCCCCAGGAGTTGTCCTAGCTATTTGTGCCCAGAGGTGTGCTGTGTAATCGGAAATTAAAGTCCTAAAAGGGCTGAGCGAATTGAACCACCGATGGCGGGCAGAACACTGAGGACGCCGAAGAAAAGCCGTTCGCAACTTTTTGCCTTTGTCAGCGGCCCTAGAATGGTGGCCGCAACTCGTTCTCTGTTGAGAACGGCCTCCGCAGGCCTCAAAGGCAAAAATTCTGGTGCCTGGGGCGATCACAATGGCAGTGCTAGACACTGTGCCGAAATTGCGCTCAGCGAGCTTGTTTTAGAACAGCAAACAAAATAATGAGGCTGAGGTGAAATTCATTGCCTTTGCCGGCAACCAAAATGGCGTCCGTGACCATTCCCGGCTGCCGGAGATGACTCCAGAAGCCTTGAATCGAAGCTTGAATTTCAGACCTGCAGTCTGAAATTCACCTGGTAGCTCAAAGGAAAAAAAAAAAGGGGGGGGGGAATGAAGGCTATGCCAAGCAGCCCCTGCTCAGAAGTTTTCCCTAGAGCCCTGGGGAAAAGTAAAGAAGGAAAGCTGAAGAGGCCTTCCCTCACTCCTCAAATCAATGATTTGAGTTAGCACTGATCCCAACGCTATGGGAAAATTAAGGGAGGAATCCAAATTTAATATTTAGTCAATTTTAGAGGGTATTATAGGGAAAGGAGAATTCACCAATGGATTTCTAACCTGTTATCTGTTGAGAGAGCCAAACCTGATACGTCTTCAAGAGCTTGAGACCAAGTCAAGACTGGGTCTCCTAGCAAGAGGGGGTATGTCAAGTTTGGCTACTTGGTCTCAAGAGCAGGCAGACAGACAGAGAAAACCCATTGGTTTTGGAGAAAGCTGCTTTCTTTAAAAAACAAAGTGAAAATGTTTATATACGTTGTTTCAGGTATAAAACTCCAGCAGTGTAAAGTGAGGCTCTTCCTTCATTGTAATAGGAGCAGAATCTGTTATTTACTTGAGTTTATATGCCATTCAACTCAACAAAGTTCAAAGCTGTTTACCAAAGGAAATCCATCCATCCATCTATATCTCCATCCATTCATCCATCTACCCACCCACTCACCTATCTATCTAAAACTAAAAACAATTGCAAGCTGAAGAAGAGCAAAGCAGCAGAACTTTAAGGAATAGTAACAAACCTCAAATTTAACCCCAAAAGTAAAGCTTATCACCAACTTCAAGACAATAAGACAGCTAGCCTAATTTCAAGAGGAATGCTAAAGGGAGGGGGAGACAGCAACCAAGAAGGCTCATCCCCATAATTGTGAATGACCTTCCTTAAGAGAAGGGACCCAGATGCAGCCCAGCCTTCCTATCCTTATGCCACTGGGGAAAGGTGGTTTGGTATATTCAGATATGTGATCCTTTAAACGTGAAATCCAGAACTTTGAATTGTACTGAAAGGTGATCAGCGCAGCTTTTGGAAAACTTAAGAAGTTCCTAACATTATAGAAATGTCTGCATTCTGGGTCAGCTAATTCTTCTGGGTAACAGTCATCCAATATTGCTGGGCCAGGTAAAAGTTCTTGAGGAGGTACATTGCTATTTCAAAGGATATGGGACATATTTAGACTACTGTCCATTGGTCCTCCTTGTTAAATGAAGAGGGGCTGATTGTAGAAGGGCATATATGAAAAGTAGACTTTTTAGATTTATCTCAAATGATATGTGAGAAATATACTTTTCTTGATACTTGATTTGTTTCCCTTTAATAACGCTAGAATTCCCTCTCCACCTCCTTTCCTGCTGTTGTGCTGTCGGGGCAGGGGATAAGAAAAAAGATATTTTGCAGTTCTTGCGCATAAGACCAAGCCAGGATTATAATATCCACCTTCTCATTTTGGGAAATAGGAAATATTGATTTGCTATAAAAACTGTTGTAGCAAGAATTTAGTATGTTAATTTAATGTTATAAATAAGGAATAGATGGAGGTGGGTTAGAAAACATGACATGTATAAGGATATTTCTAAACTTTCTTTTAAATTGGTAATTATTTTCTCTTCCCAGAGTTGAAGCTTTGCGTGATGCAGCATCTTCAATGGAACAAGAAAAAGAAGCTCTTCTGGAAATGATCCATAATATACAGAATAGCCAGGATATGAGGAATATTAGTGAAGGTAATACCCCAAACTTCTTTGTGAATGTGTAAATATATGCATATTTGTAGTATCTGATGAATACACATAAGGGGATTTTTTTTTAGAGTCTTCATAGTAGATAGACTTATACAGGTACTCCTCGACTTTCTATTGCTAAGCAAGACAGTTAAGTGGGTTGTGCCCCATTTTGTTACCTTTTTGCCACCGTTGTTAAGCTAAGTATAATTGTTAAGCGAATCATGTAGTTGTTAAGTGAATATGGCTTCTCCCATTGACTTTGCTTGTTGGAAGCCAACTGGGAAGGTTAAAAATGGTGATCACATGATCTGGGGGAGGACAGGGCAATTGTCATAAATACATACCAGTTGCTAAGTGCCCAAATTTTAATCACATGACCATGAGGATGCTGCATTAGTTGTAAGTGTAAAAATTGGCTATGTCAACTTTTTCAGTGCCATTGTAACTTCAAACAGTCACTAAATGAATGGTTGTAAGTCGAGGGTCACCTGTACTAAGTGATAATTTCTTAATATGCTACAACAGACAGGATTCAAGGGCGACAATAAGCTGAAACAAATCAAACCATGCTATTTTAATGTGTTCTGTTAATCTAGCCAGTGTTTTTTCTGTGGTAAGCTGCTAATACTAATCAAGTCAAAATCTCTGTTAAGTATTATCAAGCCTATTACAATTATCATTGCACTCCATCTTCCATGGATTTTAGCAAAAATATGATGCAGTAATTCTTAATTTATCTTGACTCTTCTGACCCTGCTGGTCAATTGGTGTTATGTCAAACGTTAAAAGCAGCATTTTTAATTTCAAAATATAGGTGAAAGAGAAGAACTTAATCTGACTGCCAAGCGTCTTATGGGCCGAACCATCACAGTTGAGGTTTCAGTAGAAACTATAAGAAATCCTCAGCAACAGGAATCCCTGTTGCGGGCTACCCAGATGATTGATGAAATAGTCAATAAACTCTTGGATGATTTGGAAGACTCAAAGAGCCGGTTAATGTCACTTTATGGAGCCTGTACATCTGAGACACCATCTGGACCTGTTGATCAAAAATTTCAGTCTGTTGTAATTGGATGCGCCATAGAAGATCAGAAGAAAATTAAAAGACGGCTAGAGACTTTGCTTAGAAATATAGACAACTCTGAAAAGTCCATCATGCTTCTAGAAAACAAAAAAACAACTTCAAGGCAACTCTGCAACAATGGAAAAGATTAAAAGCTTTTGATTATCGTTATGAAAATGTTTTCTTAAAAAAGCAAAGAAATGCTGCCATTTTAAAATATATAATGCATGGTCTTGTTAGTACAGGTCACATGCCCTGAAACTGAAGGGAGTTTATATACCTCTTGTACAAATCCTTGGACATTCAGAAACAAAGATGGAAGAAGATAGTTCTGGAAAAAAAATACCCTTACATTCCTTTGAGGGGAAAATATGTCTGCTTCCATTAAAAAAACCCCAACCATCCAACTCTAAAATGTCTTCCTAAAGCACGTCCTGAGGCAACTATAAATGTTACGTATCATAGAAGCACATAAACACATGAACGTTCTGTACTTTTTATCCTATCAACAGGCTGGCTAGAATGTTCTGCCTTCCGTGCTTTCCTGTTCAAAGAATACATCTTTAAAGGGCTTGGTACATTGATATAAGTAACTAATGCCTTACTTGAGAGAATGTAGACATTTCATATCCAAAGGATAAATCTTTTCATAAATGGTATCCCATTTATTCCTTTTAGTACTGTATTGATTTTAGGCAATAGTGTCCCGTTAATCCCTAGAGATAGTTTAGCAATATCTATTTTGTTCTTGAAAGATTAATCTATCATAGACAATTCAATTAGATTGTATTCCTCTTAAGTGAATAAATCTGTTTAAGAGAGATGGCAAGGTGGAAAAAATGCAAACAAAAATTTTATATGTACTTCCTTATTGCTGAATATTCATAAATAAAACAAATCATGTTCCATGCATTAAATTTTAGTATCTTTTGAATATGCAATTTACATGCATACATCTCTAAATCCTGTTCACTATGAGAATGCCTTAGCTACATTTAAAGTGCTCTCCTATTACTTTATTTGCTCAAAAACAGTGCATTTAACATTTCATACAAATGTCTATACCTATTACATTTTCACTTTCATCTTCGCACAGTATTCCAATCTCTTTGAAAAAGTTGCACAGGAGCAGTAAGTGAAAGTTGCTCATATTTTACATCTGTGAAAGATATTACCCAATACTTAAAGCATGGAATATATAATTTCATTCCACATGTGCCATAATCTATATATAGAGGAAAAAGAAAAGTCTATCATGCTTCTAGAAAACAAAAAAACAACTTCAAGGCAACTCTGCTAGAAAAGCATGGTATAGGAAAATGTTCAGTCACTCAGCAGAATTGTCCTCACAAATCTTAGATATTGTGCATGTTGAACTATTAGCTAGCACTGTGCATTGCTTTGGATTTCAAACAGTTTACAACAATTGTGCTGTTGCATGATAAATCTAGTAATACAGGTAATTCTCAACTTATGACCACAATTGAGCCAAAAATTTATATTGCTAAATGACAAATTTGCTAACTGAGTTTTGCCCCATTTTTCGACTTTTCTTGCCACATTTGTTAAGTGAATCACTGCAGTTGTTAAATTAGTAAAATGGTTGTTAAGTGAATCTGGTTTCTCCATTGATTTTGCTTGTCAGAAGGTTGCAAAAGGTGATCACGTGACCCCAGGGACACTGCAACTGTCATAAATGCGAGTCAGTTGTCAAGCCTCCAAATGTAAATCACATGACCATGGGGATGCTGCAAGTGTGAAAAATGGTTGCAAGTGTGAAAATGGTAATAATTCTCTGTTTTCATTGCCATTGTAACTTTAAACGATCACCAAGCAAACCGATGTAAGTTCAGGACTACCTGTACTTCCAAAGATTTCAAATACAAATTGAAAGATTTTAAAATACAGTTGGAGATTTTATAAAATAATGTACTGGGATATGTTGGTTTGTAATTTGTATTATTTAGTAATAATACACATTCCAAGAGATAAGGTGGTAATTTTGTTACCAGTTTCTAATTAGAGGACCAGAAACAGAGTGGTATTAGGGCATGTGAAACAAACAAAATATTCCCTCCTCTCCTTCCTTGGGATTTAAAAAACAATAAATAATGTCACCTGAGCCATAACACATTTAGAAGGGCAAGGAATATTGATAAATCTGGGAAGGGAGCATAGGCCCTGGGAACCAAGCCAGGATGAGAAAAGCCTCATAAATGTAATTTTCAAAGACAGCTGTGTTTGAAAAACAGTGTATTTTTGTCTTTTCAGTAAAAAGTTAAAGAGTCCACTCCACCACTAATCTTGCTAAATATGGTAGGCTGTTAAATCCAATCATATTCTGTCAATTACCTTGCAGTGGTATCCAATAAGATATGTATCCTAATTTATATAGAGGTAGTCCTCATTTAGACTGGTACAATTCTGATAAGTAATTTCACCACTAATCCTCACATTTAAAACATCTGCAGGTCTGTAAAGCAAAAGAAAGCTGAAGATAAGCACAGCCACTTGGTTTAACAATCAAATTTCTGGTACCAACTGTTGCTAAATAAGAACTCACCTGTACCTCTATAGAGAAGGGTCATATCCTTACCTACTTTTAGATTTGCTTCTGCTGCCTCAGGTACTATAATAAGCAGTTATGCTTCAAGTGAATTGTGTGATGATCTCTACTTTAAATTAACTCGTAAGAAAATTTGAGACAAGCATACATAAAAAGCACCCTACGAAGAGAGAATGAGGAAATTAGAAATCACTGAGGAAAGATTAATGTGGGACAACATTTTTCAAAGTCCCTTAAAAGGCTTTCTGACAATACAAGGTTTAGAATAATGCTTTAAAGCAGGGGTAGTCAACCTTGGCTCTTTTATGACTCGTGGACTTCAACTCCCAGAATTCCTGAGCCAGCTGTGCTGGCTCAGGAATTCTGGGAGTTGAAGTCCACGAGTCATAAAAGAGCCAAGGTTGACTACCCCTGCTTTAAACTTACAGGAAAAGGCAAAACCTTTGCAGCGTTAGGATCAACTTGTGATCAATGGTAAGAACTCTGCTTTACCAGTACAGTCCAATAATGGAGCCAATAACAGTTATTTCATTGGGATTCTGCACTGACCAAGATACAGGATTCGAAAGCTTTAATGGCTCTTTGAAGGAACAAGGCAAACGCACTGAGCATTTTTTTTTATCAATTTATCAAATTTTTCAATATATTTAACGAGTTTGTAAATTTGTTATAATTTATTTATTTTAAAGTATCTGGCTAATTCGTGAAATATTTTGAGCAACTGGTCATAAGACTTAACTATAAAAAAAGGATATTTTTCCTAAATTAATTTTTCAAAAACAATCTGTCACGGTTAAGCAATATTTGATTATCTAAAACATGAATTTGGCTATTAATTGGGATATGAGATGGTTAAATGATTCTGGATTTCCAGTATCATAAGAAGTAACAACTGGAACAGTTTATTTGCTCCTTTGATGATAGGGTGCCTAGCAAATTAACACTTGTCTCAGAGAGTGATTTGATAAAGTTCTTCATTTTTTTTTTCTTCTGTTCAGTTGTGTCCAGTTCTCAGAGACTGCTTCTATAAATTCCTGCAGTTTTCTTTGCAAAGTTCTTCAGATGTGGTTTGCCATTGCCTCCTATTAGGACTGAGAAAAAATAGTTGGCCCAAAAGTAACCTAGCTGGTTTTGTGCCCAAAGGATTAGAATTCACGGCCTCCCAGTTTCTAGCTTGACACCTTAAGTGCTACACAAAACTGGCTCTCAATGTTTTCATTATACATCTCCAAAACGATTAAAAGGTACCAAAACATGGATGCTGCCTGCTAGGTACCAGATCAAGTTCTAAAGATTGAATAGTTTTAACAAATTTTCTTCATCACTTCAGTTTTTTAGAAACGTATTTTTGGCACTCACACAATATTTAATACATTGTGATCTGATAAATGCAGAATGTTTTGATACTTGTATGAATCTATATAATTCCCTTAACTATAAAAGCATTAAAAGTCTAAATGGGTTTTAGTGAGCATCATGAAATAGCACTGATTGATATTAGCAAATATTACTTTAACAAGATATATGGTAATTTACTCATGTTCCTATCAGTATGTAATGGAGAGCCTTCCATCCCATAAGCCAGAAGTTGTTGCCCAATGTATCCCAACCATTCAGTGAGTCTCATCCCAACCTCTACAGGTAGTGCTTGATTTACAGCCATTTGTTTAGTGACCATTCAAAGTTACAACGGCACTGAAAAAAATGATGACCGTTACAGCATCCCCATGGTCACATGATCAAAATTTGGACACTTTGCAACTGGCTCATATTTATGATGGTTGCAGTGTCCTGGGCTCATGTGAGCACCTTTTGCAACCTTCTGACAAGCAAATCATTGGGAAAGGCAGATTCACTTAACCATAACTTAACCCAGTTAACTGTGGCAAGAAAGGTCGTAAAATGGGGCAAAACTAACTTAACTGTCTAGTTTAGCCACATATATTTTGGGCTTAATTGTGGTCATAAGTCGAAGACCAACTATATTTGAGTTCATCCCACCCCTTAATGACAAGCTATATTCTGAAGGAGAAGAAAACATTTAGGGTTTGCTATTGCTTTTCTGGGAGCGGAATAGGACAATTTGCCCAGCCAACTTGTTGTGGGACATCTCGCCACAGCCAACTCTCCGTGGGACAATTTAACAATTCAATTTAATTATTTAAAATAAATAAAAAAATATTTAATTTTTGTCATTCGCATTTCATTCTGTCCCTCCTTTTGCTTCCTTTCTTTAATGATTGTATTCCACCATTTCGTTGATATTACTGTAACTCTTGTCCTGCAGCGAGTTATCCTGTGACAAGTTGGCCGCTGTGGCGAGTTGGCCGTGGCGAATTGTCATGGGAAAGGTAAAGTCTATTTAAGTTGGATCACTGGAACACGAATGGGTGAGGTCTACATTTCATCTTCACCCATGGTTTGAGGCTGCATATATACTTGGGCATAGTCAAAATGGCAATCGCATAGTATAAACCTTGATTTTGCTACTATTAATAACCCAAAAAGTAAAATCAGATTCACAAATATAAACATATAAGGCTATCATTTAATGTAGAAATTTCCATATAAAAATAGCATGCATGCAGAACCTAGTTATTTAAACCAAGATGTTTTTTTACCAGACAATGAACAACTTTGAATATGTTTGTGTACTTATCCCATAAACCAACACAAATATAATCTGGACCCGTATATAGTCACCTAGTGACTAGCTAGACTTGTTTAAAGGAAGGAATGAAAAGGGATATTGTTCATATCCCACCTCATTGCCAACAATGAGAATGATTACTTAAGCAAGAGGAATGATACACTGTTCAGTACGAAACAGAGGCCAAGTAATCATTGGAAAAAATGTCATTATTTTTTAGATAATTAAATTAACAGGATGTAAAAACCCTGTTCCAAATACAAGATACAAACTTTTGGACAAGAAAAATCTCTTTTAAGTATAACGTTTTAGTGTTTACAGACATAAAATGTAAAATAATATTCATATAGAAAAAGAATGTTGTAATCAGGCTGGCAGAGTTCCAGCTCTGGTCTTGAATATAACTATGCTCCTGAACTATTGATATTTCAACATTTCTTAGAAACATTAATTGGCTGCTGGCAGAAGTTTGTTACAGAAATACTGTAGGAATGGTTTGTAAACAGAAAACAATATTGCAGAGGCATACTTCATCAGATGAAAGGTTTATGAATAATATTGTAAAGTAAGATTTCATTTTTTAACACCCTGAACCTAAATATATTATGTGGAGGTACATTAGCGTCAGTGGAAAAGTGCATGTTTACTCAAAGCAAGTCCCATTCATCTGTTCAGTGTTAGCTAAGCAGACATTAAGACAG